TTCTACTGTCTTGGTAACAACTTTTTTGATTTGATTTTTTTTATTTTGATGACTTAATTTTGTTTCTTTGCCTGTTCTTTCATTGCGTATAATTCCTGTATTCATTTAGAACCCTTACGTAATTTCGTATCATCTACTTTGTTCCTATGTGCATCCTGAGTAAAACTCACTCATCAAACTATTCATATTATTACATAACTTCTTCTAACAACTGTTTGTGACAACTCACCACCTTTGTTACTACCCTAATTTCATTAACACCTAATTTTCATGACTGATTTTGTATCACCTAACTCCAGTTACCAATCTTCACCTGTTTAGTTTAAATAACTATAACCAATTGTTTTTTGTTTGATAAACTTATTGTACACATACATACAAAATAACTTATATGTATATTTGCGATTGTACAGCTAAGAAAATGAATTCGCCGAAAAGAGACTCTTCGCTGATCTACGTGTTTTGTTTTCAATAATAATATTATCCCACTGAATGACAAGAGACAATAATCTTGAGTATACTATAAAGATTCGAGCACAAATAATCGATAGTCTATCTTCAGAGTAATCATCCACTCAATAAATATCGTAGAATTTTCTGTTTACAAAAACTTACACAAATAACGACAATTACTTTTATAATCCGGCAAATACAACAGATTAACTGCCTAGTGGCTTTACGAAGATTACGTTACCTCAGTTAAGCATACCTATTAAATGAATCCACTTGAAACCAAGAAATCCACCACACAAATCGTCTGATAGTTTGCGTGAGGGTTGGGATACTGCTCGGATGGATGCCCAGAACCAAAACAGATGGTTATCTTAAGGGACCAACCAAAAGCTTTTGATTTGAAGACTAATCCACAAGACAGAGTAAGTAGTCAGGTGCCCATGGTTTCTGGGGACCAAAACAAGTTCATAAGCCACTCAATCCATTTGGATACTTGAGCCTATTTCACTGCAGGTTTAGAATCAGGGTTCTCTAGTTCCCTTAGACAGACCCCTACATGTCCGTCCACTAGTCCGTTTGTAAGTGCCAGATGTTTGCATTCACCGTTTCATCACTTTTGTGAGAAACACCCCCTGCTGCATGAAGGTGATGAGTAGGACTTACCCTGGCAGAGGCCAATGTATAGTTAGCTAGTTCTTATATGTGGGTCAGAAACTTGCCACACGTGTCACGAAAATCCTTTCCAACAGACTTTCATCAACAGCTACCTTCGATAGCTCCATACTGAAGATAAAGTGGCCAGCTGGCCAGAAAGAATTAGCGACAAGAAACTCTGGCGACGAACCAATCAAGAAGCTGTCGCTCAACAAATATTACGAATAAAATGGAAAGGGCACATGCTGAGGAGACCATCGAATGAAATCACGCGCCAGATCATCAATCGAGTGCAACCCCAATGATAAACGACGTGTGAGGCTTTCGAGGATGAATACAGGAGATCGTGTGAAGAGGAGAGGAGAGCCTAAGAACAATCGTGGTCTGTCTTTTTTCAACATAGAACTTTGCACCGATGTGCAGCAGTTCAAGTCGCCACACTCCCTCCATGTAGCACACAAAGCCAGAGAAGAAGAAAGTAAAAATAAATGCAAAATAGAGACAGTAAACAGATACGAGGCAAAAATAATAGTAATATCGAAGAATAATATAGTTTCATTGGAAACTAAAAGTCACAGGGAGTGGATGCATCTGCATCAGCTATTGACAACGATCACTTTGAGCCATATCACCAATTGTTTCCAGCCAATATTGGTGTTTACCGTACTGAGGATCCCAACCAGGAAGTCTACATCTTCCTATGTAGCTTAAACCAACTGCTGTGGATTTTATTGACTGATGAAGCCGTTTTGATTTGACCGCCGCTAGCTCTTTTCCAGCCTAACCCTATGTCAACTAACATTACCCTTTGTCGAGGAAGGTGATGGCTAGGCATGCGTGCGTAACACATGTCCGAACTATCTCAATCGATGCAGCTGCTTCAAAACCACCTCGTCGATTGATTTCCCCTCCTTACCTAGCTTAGCACTCGACCGATGTCTAACCTCAATATTGCTCACCTTATTATACCAGCACGTAACAGGGGAGATAGAACGCAGTCACCTATTATCAAAGACAGCTAGCCTTTTCATGTCATCCACTCTCAATGGCCACGTCTCACAACCATAGAGGAGGACGGAGCGGACTGCTGAGCAGTACACACGTCCGTTAGTCGATAGCCGGATATCAGGAGATGACTGCAGACAATAAGACAAAGTGAAGATGTGCTGTTGAAGCCCTATGTTCCACTAGGAAGCAAATGGAACAAGAATAACAATATAATATGAGAGATCGCAGAAACTGAATGTCTCTGTGCTACTGAGAACGATTTTCAGCCATATCACTAACAGTCTGAAGCTTGGTTTCACTACCCAGAGGCTTAGTGGATAACGCTTTGACGCTTGAAACCTTGGGTACAGAGTTCGTGTTTCAAAGGGAACACTGTTACCCACTAGGGTTGCAGGTACATCCGGATGACGAGTCCTACACAGGACGAAACGCTAATCCTGGGTTCCACCGTAGTCACCTTTCGTCAAATGATATTTTATACTCTGAAGCCATTGGTTCTAAGCATCTTGGTGACGCCAGCAAGTCAACACCTCCACAAGTGACTCCAATCAACAAAGATATCATGAAGCGGTGCAATGTTTTAACTTGACCACTCCTAAACCCTTCGAGAACCCAATCCTATATCTGCTAACATTGCTCATAGGGAAAAGTGATGACTTGTCACGGGCAACACGTGTCTTAGCTACTAACACCGATTGAAATCCCCTTGTTACACAACACTTCCTACCTTTGCTCAACACTAGTTATCATATAATACTACCACCTAACATGAGATACAGAATACAAACTACCTATTGTCAAAGATGGCTAGCCTTTTCATATTTTCCACTTTCTACCATTATATCTCACAGCAGTAAACTGTTGAGCATTACCCAATTCCTTTGATTAAAAGAGCCGGAGCGCATGTGCACACCAGAGATAACGGAACTTAGCTGGTTGTTAGTCAGTCTATGCGTTGTTAGTCAGTAGCACAGTGAGGTAAGCACCTATAAGCGACTCCAGTACGGTTGAGTGTGAGAAGACATTGCTCTTTCACTCGAAATGCTCTCATGTCTTCATAGCCTCTGTCAGGTAAGTTCTATCCTCTACCTTCATAAGACACTGTAATGGTGTTTCTCAACAAAAGGGAATGAACGAAGACGAACATCTGCCGCTTACGACCAGACTGGTGGACATGTTTGTCAACCTACAGAGCGGAGCTGGAAAAGCCTGACTTTTCCAAACCTAAAGTGTTGATGGCCTCCAAAATCCGATAGGATCGAATGGCTTAAGAACCTTGCGAATCCAGTTCTAGAATATCTGAACTTCGCGGAAGGTTTATATCTAATGTCCTACTGAGGAAAACCCACAAGTCAGCAGAAGTGGCTGGCAGCGTCGACAGAACTTCAGGTGAATATAGAGAAAACAGAGGTGATGAAGATAGACAATAACAACTAACAACAAGCACCAATCACTATAAACAGGAGAAATTTGAAAGAAGTTACTTCCTTCACTTATCTAGGCAGCATGCTTTCAACTACACTAGGCGGTACAGATGAGGATGTTTACAACATAATTGGGAAGGCGTGGGACACCTTCATCACTCTGAAATCAGTTTAGAAATCTTCTGTACTCCCTCATCCTAAAGAACAAAATTCGGATTTTCAGCACCAATGTTAAGTCAGTCAGTTCTTAGATATATGGGTCAGAAACTTGACTAGTACATCACGAAAAGCATTTCCAACGGGCTAACGCAGCCGCACTCTCTGGTTCCATGGTGAAAATAATGAAGCCAGAAAGAATTAACAACAAGGAACTGATCACTGCACCGAACCAACTAAGAACTTATTGCTCAACAAATATTCCGAAGAAAATCAAAATGAATGGAATACACGCTGAGAAGACCGTTGGGTGACAACATTGCACACCAGGCTACCGTTCAAGTGTGACCCCCATCGGGACCATAGGTGACATGAAGGAGATCGTGTGAAAAGGAGGAGGAGATGACAGCCTATGGTCAATCGTGGAGTCAGCTAAAGAGCTCCACAGAAAAAAAGACGAAGTCTAACTCACTCACTGACTGGTTTCAACATAGAACTTTGCACCGATGTGCAGCAGTTCAAGTCACCACACTCCCTCCATGTAGCACACAAACAGAAACGCAAACTAGAGACAGTAAACAGAGATAAGAGACAAAAGGAATAGTAATAACGAAGAACAATAGTTTTATTGGGTATTATAAGTCACACGGGGTGGATGCATCTGCATTAGCCACTGAGAACGATCACTTTGAGCCAGCCATATCAACAATTGTCTCCAGCCACCATTGGTTTTTACCGTTCCGTGGACCCCGACCAGGAAGTCCACACCTTCCTACGTGGCTGGCTGGCTTAAACTAACTGTTGTGGATTTCATTGACTGATGAAGCCATGTTTTACTTTGACCACCACTAGCTAACTCTTTTTCAACCATCAAGTAACATCACTAGACAAGCCCTTGAGTGGAAACCGAAAGGGAAGCGGCGAGTTGTACGTCCAAGAGTGACTTGGAGGAGGTCATTTGTAGAGATGAAAACGTGTGGGCAGACTTGGAGCCAGGTGAAGACTCTAGCAGAGAATCGAACGCAATGGAGAAGCACAGCTGAAGCCCTATGTTCCTCTAGGAATTAAAGGAAACAATAATAATAATATCCTATGTCAGCTAACATTACCCATTGTCGAGGAAGGCGATGGATGGCTAGGCATGCATGCGTAACACAAGTCTTAACCATCCCAAACGCTGCAACTTCACAGCCTCGTCTATTGATTTCCCAAAGGACAAAGTGGAGAGAGAGAGTGCTGTTAAAGCGCCTTATGTTCCACTCGACACCCAAGCGAATATCAATAATAATAATAATAACAGGCATGTCAAGGCACACATTTATTATATTTCAATTTTCTTTAATAAAAAAAATCAAAAAAATGAATGTGTTATAAACAATAATACACACAAATAGATAGACAGACAGACGACAGATTCCATCATCATCATCATCATCATGCAGACGAGTAAAAACCCCCAAAGAAAAAAAATTAGCTAAACATGCTCAGGGAGTGTGTGTGTGTGTGGACCGGTCAGTCGGTCGGTGCCAAAGAACAAGAAATCAAGCGAGAAAGTCAATCAAGCCGGTCAGGTAATCGGCAGGCAGGCAGGCAGGCAGGGAAATAACCACCAGCAACCCCTCCCTCCCCGACCGCAAAAAAGATCACATACATGTATATGCATATATATGTATAAAGGAGAAGAACCTAATATCATATAACAAATGAATACGTATACATATATGAATGCATAAATAATAATATATCATATCATATCATATCGCAATGGATTAGTCCGTAAAATCATAAGAATACAAATTGGAAGAGTTGGTTCTCAAGAAAGGGGCGATAGGGGGTTGGGGTTGGGGTCGAGGGTAAAATTGAGTGTATGATACAAAGTGTATGCATAACATATATATGTATATATATATATATATTCATATGTCTGTACGTGTGAATGTTGGTGTGCATAGGAACACAACCTGGTTTCGCCAATGGCAGCTGAGATCATCTTGCATGTGTGTTTGTGTGTGTGTGTCTGTGAGTAGGTGGGATAAAAATCATCTTTAGATGAAGTAATGCATATTACATATTACATATTACTAACAGAATAATCAGTAGTTTGTAAAGGGGTAAAAACCTCTGCTCAATAGCAGTCAAACACTCTGTTTAATTACTACTAGTACTCACAACAACAGAACAAAAAAGAAAAGAAGAAATGAGAAAAACTGATGAAGATCAAATTTCGCATGGTGATTGATAATATTTTTCTTTTTGAAAAGAAAACGATAAAAACAACAAGAAATAAAAATTCTACAAATTTTTTATACTAGTGAGAATCATCATGGATATTTATTTGGTTATGATTTGGGATTCACATATACACACACTACACTGAGGTGTATCTGCGCGCTGATGTCCGGCTTCTACTCGGCCTCTCTGGTGTTTCGCAGTACTATGATATAAATCCTCCTTTATATATATATATATATATATATATATATATATATATATATATATTCACAGTATAGTATAGTTAGCTGGTTAGTTAGTGAGTTTGTTAGTTAGTTAATTAATTAATTAGTGTAAGAGCGGGGATTAAAAATACATAAAAATTAGGAAGAAGACAGGAAAACAGAAAAAGAAGACGAACACGTTGATGATCGAAAATCACTGACACACTCACTCCCTGGCTGTCTCTCTCTCTCTCTCTGTCTCCCTCCCTCTTGTGAACGGGGGCGCGCGTGCACCGCCATCACATACACACAAAGAAGAAGACGCAATCAGAAAATAAATCAATTTCTACCCATTGGTGGTGGTATTCGCTGTGAACAAAGACTGTGCTGATGAAGATGCTGGAGACGATAATGTAATAGTGATAATTTCATTAATTTTATTATTGTCAGTGCTACTGACATCCTCGTGTACAGAGTTCAATAAAGGCGGCGGCGACGACGGCGACGGCGACGATTCATCTTCATTCTCACCAACCAATTGATGAAGGTCAGGTGTTGTTGACGACGGTAATTGTGACGACTGCATTGATACCACAGGAGGAGGAGGAGAAGGAGTAGTAGGAGTAGTAGTGGTGGTAATGTAATTTGGACTGTCTAACAGTGCTGGTTTCACTTTAATATGATAACTTTGAAATACTGGCAGCGGTTTATTATTATTATTACTATTCACAGATATCTTCAATGTGTCCATAGCTTCATAAGCATAAAATTTGACATCAGTGTCAGAATCTTCAGCCAGACGATTTAAACAGGCTTTCACTTCACTGTCAATATCTTTCTCATCGAGTTGTAGGCCTAAATTGCTGAGCGCTTGAGCAACCTATGTATAATAAGGAATGATAGTAATACAATTTCTATACATATTTCAAAATGGGAAAGTCAGGATAAGGAAATGAAATAATTATAAGAAAAGGTTATTTGGTTGATGGCTGGCTGGCTACTAGCGGAATCCATAATATGCATTTCGTCCTACATGGGACTCATCAGCTCGATATACCTCCCACTACTCCTTTTCAGTGAGTGATGATGTTACTACTACGACGATTCGAACTCGTGATCTTCGGTGTCTGGGATGATGGGTGCTGTTCCCAAGTCACTGTAGGAACACCATAGATCACTCAATGGGGATTGCGGGTAGATCCACGTTCATACCATCCCGAGGACCCCGACCAGGTAGCAGTCTACACCTCGGTAGGTGGCGACTGACTTACACTAATTGTTGTCGATTTCACTGACTGATGAACACATGTTTTTCTTTGACCACCATTAGCTAACTCTATTCCTACCCGATCCTACGTTAGCTAACATTGCCCTTTGTCGAGGAAGGCGATGGATGGCTAGGCACGCATGCACAACACAAGTCTCAACCATCCCAAACGATGTAACTTCGCAACCTCGTCAATTGATTTCCTCACGTAGCACTCGATCGGTGCCTCACCTTATTATACCACCACGTAACACTGGAGATAGAACGCAGGGATTTACTATCATAGAAAACTAGCTGGTCTTATCATGTCTTGCACTTTCAATGGCCGTGCTTCACAGTCATAAAGGAGGATGGAGCAGACTGCTGAGCAGCACACGCGCCCTTTTATCAATGGCTAGCAGGATGTCGTTTCTACTAAGCCAGAGACGCCGTAAAGTGGTGTTTGCAAAACAAGCCTTCTGTATCGGTGCTGAGATTTCGTCAGTGATCAACCTTTCGGTGCTAGCTGATGCAACTCCCCAATTAAGTGAAGTGGTCAACACGCTCTACCACTTCATTCCCTATCTTTAAGCAAAGAGTTAATGTAGTACATTCCTGTAGTATCATCTTACATTTGACAGGAGAGGATGGCATGCCAAACACTCGCAGATTGCAGGTCAAGGTGTTCAGAAGATTCTGCATTTTATCAGCATCTTCACCTAGAAGGAGGACTCTATCATCCACATATTTTAAGTTAACGAGATTATTCCCTGATGGTAACAAGTCAATTCTTGAATCGCTGAAGTTAGCAGTTAGCGTTAATTCCATTAGTACATCTATGATGAAATTACAGAGAGATGGGAACAGTGGGCATCCTTGACATACACCACTGGTTGTCGTCACTTCAGATGATGACTCTCCTTAGATTCTCCCCTGGCTGTCTGTATGAGTTCGAGTCGAGTGCCTTGACCAGTGCAATATATTTTCTCGGCATTCCCTTCACAGCTAAACATCAGCATAGTACCTCTCAGTCGATGGAATCGAATGCCGCTTTCAAGTCAAGAAATATGGTGATTGGTTACAGGATTTTATCATGAGCTAGCTGACATCAGTTAGAGAACTACTAGAAATCCTACAGGGATTACTACACGGGTGTTTCGTCCTAGTTTGGGACTCTTCACCAGTACGAACCCACCACAGGGGTTTGAACCCAGGACCTTCTGATGAGTCCCAAACTAAGACGAAACAGCTGTCCAGTACTCCCTGAAGGTTTTCCAACGGTTCTCTGACCGATGTCAGCTCATGATGAAATCCTGTAGCCAATCAATCAAATCCCTACAAACCAATACTTAAATATGGTAATTGTTAGACGTCGGTAAGTACGCCTATGCTGCCGAATCTGTCGAAGGGTGAAGATATGATCAATACACTCTCTTCCTATCCCCCAAATGTTGACATGCATAAAAAAATTTATCACAATTGCAGTAAAATAGGACTTACTTTAAATCGAACATTTGGTACATTATCTGTATGCATTGATAAAACTGTAGGCAGTAAATACTGACAACAGATGGTTGGACTGACAACTTTACACAGGCTAATAATACTTTGTAGACAAATCATACGATGTAGATAATTTTCGTCACGTGATAAATGAATAATCTACAAAATCAAAACAGACAAATAAAGGCATATGTTATGTGAGTGAGTGAGTTGGTGGGTGGATGGTTTAATAATAGATGCGTCATCAGTTTATGACTATGTTGAGGGATTTGAATCCCGGTCACACACACACACATAGCTATACTTCCCTTAACCAGTTGATAGTAGGCTTGATAAAGATGGGGGGATGGATGGGTATCAGTGAAGCTAGCAACCCTATCTCGCCATGTTGGTGAATACCACTACTGTTAGAACTTCAAAACTCAAAGGCTTTTATTTTTCCACTGGGAAGGCGTAGGAGTGACAGAAAGCATATGTTATACAAAGTACTGAATGTAATGTGACGTAACAATCGGCTGTCACAACGAATCGGTACAATCACAGGCTACCAAAGTCTATTATTATTTGAACTTGGTTACACATGCACTAGGTGTTTCTTATATATACACACAACAGGATAAGTGGTCACACTTATCATTGTTCACTTGGAGCATAGAGCTTCAACACAGCACATTGCCATTTCATCTTGGCTCCACGATTGCCCATAGATTCTTATCTCCTCTTGACACGATCTTCTCAATGTCAGCATCGTGACGGCCTGGGGCACGATATCACCCGACGGTATCCTCAGTGTGTACTCCTATCCACCTCCACTTTGTTTCGGAACCTTTTCTGAGCCATGTGTTTTTAGTTGGTTCATTCCTGGAGTTTCTTGTTGCTTATCCTTTCTGACCGGTTATCTGGTCTTCAGTATGGAGCTAGAGAAGGCAGCTGTTGATAAGAGTCTGCGGTAGCTTTCTGGAAGTGATGTGTGCCAAGTATCTGACCCATATAAAAGAGAACTGACTGACTTGACATCCGTGCTGAAAATCCGAGCAGAAGGTTTCTAAACTGATTTCAGAGTGACGAATATCTGCCTCGCCTTTCCTATTCCAGCTTTTACATCATGCTTGACGCCCACCTGTAGTTCAAATGATGCTGCCCAGATAAATGAAAGAAGTGACTACTTGGAAATTTTTGGCGTCGATAGTGATTGTTTTCACCACCTTTGTCTTCTCTAAGTTCACTTGAAGTCCTGTCTTCGCTGTTTCTTCAGCCAGTTTGTCAGTTTTCGGCAGTCAGTTTTCGACTTTGTGTGACACTGGACATTAAGTCCAGAAAGTTCAGATCTTCGAGAGTCTTCTGATCGATCGGGTATATTCCTGTCTCCAAGCTCCTTACACACTGTCTTTGCCAAAACAAAGTCCACCACAACTAGGAGTATTATTAGTGATAGTAGACAGGCAGCCTTGCATTAAACCAGTCTTCACTTCAAAGGCTTCGTTCAGTTTTCCATTGAGGATCACTTGACACTTAGCATTGTAATATATCTATTAAATAAGTTTGATAAAGATTTAGGGCGTCCCATAGTGGTGAAGAAGTTTCTAAATTACTTCGCGGTCAAACACTATCGAACGTCATTTCAGTCGATTAAGTTGATATAGGGATTTAACTGCCATTCTATGCACTGTTAGATAATGAGACGCACATAGTGTGTGTGTGTGTGTTTATGTATGTGAGGATTGATGATTCTACCCTAACTGAAGCAGATGGCTAGCTACGGGTTCGAACCCAAGGATGTAAAAACTGAAAACTAGATGATTATGCCAATGAGCCAACTCTCAACAACGTAACAACTGAATGACTAAATTACATTAGGTAAGTAAGTAGAGAAAGAGAACTCTAAAACTGTTTCAAGAGATAGATTGGTCATGTTGTCGTCTCTGAAAAGACATTCTGGTCACGTTGGACGACCCCACAAATCAGTAAGACTCTGTCATAATACAAGGACACCAAAAGAACCACAACATTTATATTAGATGTAGACAATCATATCCTTGGGAGGACGACCTCTTCAACAGTACGCACCCCCACTGGTTCGAATCCAAGACCTTCTGGTTACAAGGCGAGCTAACAGACTACTAAGCCAATGGGACCCAATCCAATGGCCTATGAATTCCAACTCTTGCTAAACAGCTGTTCAGTACTCCCAGGTTTCCCAATGGTCATCTAACCGATGTCAGTTCATGATGAAATCCTGAAACCAATCAAATCCCTGCAAACCAATACTTGAATATCAATCTGATGCTCACTAGTGACTGAACTTATTCAGGTGGCTAGTTACTTGGGCTTTAGTGGGAAGTTGTGACCAGTAGGGCACAGCAGGTCGGCTGTAAGGACAAATAATCGCCGATGACTTCGTTAGTGGTCACGCTATATCCTGAATTAGTACAAATTGGAATTCGTCGGCTGGCCATTGGGTCCGGTCCCAGAAGCTTAGTGGTCTACGAGCTCACCTCGTACACAGAAGGTCTTGGGTTCGAACCTCAGTGGGTGCGTGCTGATGAGGAGTCCCGAACCAGGACGAAACAACGTCATATTTTGCCGGATTTCAAATTTTCAATTTACACAATTTTATGAGGTAATCAAGAAACCAAGCATAGTCGCATGAAACTATGTACTACTGATTGCTTGAGGTGAGTAGTTGAATACCGCTCACACCAACCATCCCCCCGGTAGCGCTTGTGTGCTAGGCGAACTAAAAGGATCTGAACACCGGATTACCGGGGGTTTCGACCGTTTGTGGCCGAGATCATCAATGGTGCACCCGGTTTTTATATTTCATATTGCTTCAACCAGCTAACTGTGCATTCATGTGCTGTATAACCTCTTAGTCCGATAAACATTTTCAAAAAGGTTTTTTTCTCAAGCAAATGGGGAAAGAACTTCACAAATTAATAATGGAGTACACACTTCGTATGGAACAATGCTACATCAAGTGATGTATTGTGGACTATTACTATTATATTGCTTGAAGAAGCTCCACAAGGAGTGAGATATGGATTTACCGATGACGTCTTGTTTTGGTTTGACCACCACTAGATCTTTTTCAACCTCACCGATCCTATGTCAGCTACCATTTCTCGTAGAGGAGAGAGCACTGGTTATCTGTTTCGCCCTAGTTTGGGTGTCTTCAGTGGTGCATACTCATGACCCTACCGGATGTTGAATCCGGGAGCCGCAGGTCACGACACGAGATCAAGCTCATTGACCATTCAGCCACTGCTGGGCTGGAATTCAATGACCTATGTATTCTAACTTCTGGCAATTCATGATACAGCACCATGCACACAACCAATGTGCCTTCGATAAGCATCCACTGGGAATTTCTGAAGAGTCCCAAAGTAGGACGAAACAGCTGTCCAGTGTTCCCCGCTGGTTTTCAATGATCTATCTAACTGATTCGATTAGTTTGTCACAACAGTCTAATAACTGATATTGAAATATACTTAAAATGTACTCTGAATCAGCAGTCTAGTGAAATAATTTCAAAATGCACAGGATTAGAAGTTCGAAACTTTGTTTGTGTCATCAGTTCAAGCTTAAGCACATTTCGAATCAATGAAATTAGTGGTACAAGGCATTTATATATCAATCAATCAATAAATAAATAAATAAATGATATGTGCCAATGTAGGCGTTAAGTTTTTCTCTGCCGATCAGAAAGCACAAATCAAACGAGCAATATATATATATAGACAAATGACGTCATTAAACAGGCAGTTAAAATTTCGAATAATAAAACTCAAATATTTTACATTTAATAAGGCTGTTTCATCACTGCTTTGTGACATTTTTAACAAACGAATTATACTGACAAACTATGAAATAGGCCAGGTTAATTTGTTTATTGGATATTATCACACACACACACAGTGAGTGAAACCGTCTTTATTTACTGAATGACAACATTTCGAACACAATCTAACATTGTTCATAATTATATATTATCACTTGTAAAACTACACAAGTTCAAAAGTGGGAGCTTTATAGCATTCTGTCTTCGTTCCCATTTCTCGCATAAAGGTTGTAGAATTCTCCAGATGTCCAAGTGCACATTCCTATTGAATGTGTCCCCTCAGTTGCCTTGATAAGCATAGCTTCAGTTATCAATCTTTTCCTCCCTGCCACGTTGTCGCGTCTAGATTCCTTATCTTAATTAGGGTCAACCAGTCTGGAATTTGATAGGGTTTAAAGCAGTAGCCTGTGAAGGTGAATCGATGGAGATAGTTTAGCCGAACCGCCATCTTCTTTTCCAAGCAATGTTAACTGACACAGGGTGGTCAAACGAAGACCTAGCATAAGCTCGTGGAGACTTTGACAGGTGGCTGGACCCAACCACTTAGGGAAGGGTAGAGTATCAGGCTGGCTGGGATCCTTGGAATGCTAAGAACTAATATTTGGAGACTATTAGAGAGAGAATGACATATGGCTCAAATTCATTCTCAATGCGGCATATCCATTTGCTATTTGAGAATACAGCCATATATCGATTAAACCCTTTTGTATTTCCATGTTACCATTCTTTCTGCTTATCATTGACACGGGTCATGAGGTGGACGTCGAAAAGTCGTTCAAAATTATCAATAAGCAAAAGAGTTCAATGCTCCTTAAGTTTGCTGAAGCCTTTTCCATCAAGCGCCTAAAACCTGATTTGTGCGTTCAGAAAGAAGCAGTTATCAGTCTTTCTTTGCCCTGGTAACTGGATATTTTTCATCCTAATGCGAGATACTGAAAAGTTTTCATTTTGTATGGTTATTATTGCTTGGAATTGCGTTCAATATTGCATATATATATATATATATATATATATATATATATATTATTAGTGTATGTGTATATTGATCGATTGATTTCTGTTTAAAATGAACTCTGTGCAAGATACATTTAATAATGTTTTTGCCCTGTAAGCAGCTGAAGAGAACGCGACGAAATAAAATATGGTACCATTTTATTCTGCTAAATCTGTAGTTGTTGCTTTGTTCAAATATCATTGTTCTTCCGAATCTTTTGTTTCCCTCACTTTTTTGTCTTCAGTTGTGTGTCACATGGAGTATTGGTAAGTTGAACTGTTCCATTTCTGCAAAAAGTTCTATCCTGAAACCAGTCAGTCAGACTTCGGTTTTCCTCTCAAAATACTCTCATGTAGCCACACGTCCAAAGTCTCTGCAATTAGGTCTTATTCACTACGTGTTCACGTGGCGTGCGGGGGTGTTTCTCACAAATGGGAAAGGGTGAATACAAAACGTCTGGCGCTTACAACCGGACTGGTAGGCATGCACGACTCTACCTATGAATTCTAGGATCCGAAATCATCGAATGGCCCGTGAACCTACTTCAATCACTGGAGATCATGAGGACGTAGCTCCTCACGGTGCTCCACTGCCTTGTGGATCAGACTTTGAGCCAAAGATTCGCGAGCGGTGGTGGCCCCTTTAGCTTCGATGGTCTAGGTAGTATCTGGGCAGTATCCCAAATGACGAAATTTTGTGCGGCCCTAAATGTAACAAGCTGGTGTTTTAATAGCAAGAATAAGAATAATGAACCTCCCTAGAAAAGGAAATTTCGAACATTCAAATAAAACCAATATGTTTACAAAATAGGTAATGTCGTTCCACCAGTAAATCATGCCATATTTTTAGTGTTACTTAATATAAATATTATCCCACTTTTTTCACACCTGATGATGTTCCGAGTAGAGAGGAGTAAGGCTTCAGTCCTTTTTTGAAGTTTCACTAACGGCACACTGTTATGTTTTTACGAAGTGGAATTTCCCAGCCTCATACCCAGCCTTCCCTCTTTACTGGTCTTACCTACCGCTTTAGCAAGGTTGAAGAGTATATGTCGACTGGGAATCGAACCCCGAACCACACGAGGATCACTTTATTTCACTATTATCCCGCTAAAGCCTAAAGAACTAGGTTTTAAATATACAATTGAATGTAATTCCATAGAAATCGATTGACTTGTGCACGACTCTAATCCCATTACCATGACGTCACGACGTCTCAGATGCGTGGGTGGCCGACCACGCCTCACGTGGTGTCCAAGATTCTATTTCCTGCCAACGTACACTTAAAAGCCATTTAAGCTGTAGTAAGCCCGGTAAAGACAAAAGACCGGGAGTGAGGCTGTCAACTCCATCCCGTAAAAAAATTGACACCGCCGTTACTGGGACTTCAAAAAGTCTGAAGCCTTATGAACGTATATATATATATATATGTACATTTGATATATGGCCTGCTTGAGCGGCTGTCTCAACATTACCAAGATCACGAACTCACCGTCGTTTGTTTGTTGATGGTTAGCAGTAGAATACAGAATGCATGTAGTGCTAATGTTTGAAACGATAGACACTGAGTTCCAGTCTCCGTGAGAACAACGTCCAGTTGACGAGTCCCGAAAGGGACGAAATGTACAGTCTAGATCCTACCATTGACTATAATCGCACAAATAACTTTAAAAAAATTATTCTTTGTTCACTAATCAATCACTTTCTTCCAGAAACTTATAATGAGCCTCTGTAAATCACTAGATAAATAACTTATACTATTAGTTTATTGTTATCTATAATATAAAATACAACTCACCTTTGGTATATAAAAATTACTAGCCCATTCAGGACCAAATTTTATACACAATCGTACAAGATTTTCAACAGCTGCCTCCCTGATAGCATACACTTGATCAACAAGCCATGATAGGCATAATTCGGTCAACTGATTGCCAAAAAACTCCAAGCCTAATTGTTCCGCTAACAATGGCATATATTCAATAATGGCTAGGCGTACACGCCATTTCGGATCTTCAGCCAACTGGACAATAGCCGGTAACAAACTTGTCTCTAAATGATCAATTCCAATCACGGAGTTCACTTGTTCTAGATTAGATATAACATTCAATCGGACTTCTGGATTGTCATCATTCAACTGGGCTAAAAATATTGGCAGTAGATGTTCAATTGTTGAAGCTTTACCGACTAGTGGTGCTAAACCGAGGATAGCACCGGCTAGGGCTGATTTCACATGCGTATTTGACTCACTAGTAAGACTTTTAATGGCTGGTAGCAATTGTTGCATAATAATCTCGTCTTTTGAAGCGATTCCGGTGACTTCATTGTCTAACTTGTCATCGATATCCATTTTATTTTCATTAGATGTGGTTGGTTGTTCTTTTGACGATGATGTCGTAGTGACGGTAGCATTCGTCGTCGTTGTTGTCGTCGTTGTGGAAGTATTTGACTCGTTAACTGGTAGACCAAGTAAACATCTAGCGAATGATTTCACTTTGCCTGCAGCAAAAGCGCGTACTTCCGCCTCCTCATCGTGAAGTAATTTCATGAAGAAAGGCTGTTTGTAGAAGCATAAAACAAACATCAAAATAATAAAAGTAGGATACAACGTTTAAGCAAATTAAAAAGTCTTCAGAGAAGAGTTACTCCACCGTGTCAGTGATATCATTCTAAAGCTAGCTGTACACAATCGCATATATGTGGTAAATTGTCATCGCAAAAAAAGTAATATTCCTAAAGATTTGTCATTAGAAATGTAATTTTTAAGATATATTACGTAATATAAGAAGAGTTAATCGGGTAGAGACTGAAACAAAGTTATACAAGTGAATTAATTGACAGTTACATAATTGATGAGGTTCAGTAGAATTCAAGTCAAGTTAAACAACAGCGGTGATAAGGGTTAGAGATTTAATAGGCGGTGAGGGAAGAAGATAATACAATCAAGAAACAAAAACAAAAGACTACCTATCCAGTGCGCCGACACACCATGTCCATTGTAGATTTAGTCACTGAACAAACTTCTTTTGCATGCAGAGTTCAGGAACTGACATGTTAATTGTCACTGCTTCTGCTCTGCTTGAAGAAGTTTGATGATTCATACGCTTTCAGCAACATTCCCGGGTATTCTATAGGTGATGACTTTGAAGTTGGCTTGTGGGTTAGCCAGGTGTCCAGATTCGATCAGGTGTTCCAGGATAGAGCTGTGTGGCGGGGGGATCTTTTTTCTCCCTTTCAAAAGTGTTCGATGATACATTTGGATAATAAACACTGGGTACTGCCGACATACCTAGCCCCACACGAACAAGTGAATTGATTAGTGTACATTTGTAACGACAGAAGACAAGGGCCAGGCAACAGATTGCTTATTGAGATAATCAAGAGATATTCATAGAATTTTATGTACATTATTGTCGTCTTCTGATTGGTTGCTTTCTTGCTGAAGGTTATTCTGTACTGCTGGTGACCGACCGTTTCTCAGACAGTTAAGCCATATATCTGCGAATCGTATTTGCACACGTTAACTCCGCTGTGATTGGCTAATGATTTTCTCAAGACCCACATTCGGGACGTGAACACTGACGTAAACTGTTGTCTACAATTTCGGCTTGCATCCAGCTTTCACCACACATTGATTGATGAGGCTAACATTGGTAGCTTATCCTTCACATTCAATTCTAGTTGAATTTGACTCAATCCCGTAAACTATAATTACGTCACTTAATTCACTAATAAAACCTTATTTCAGTTTCCACCCGATTACGCCTTTCTATATTACGTAATTTGTTATATAAAATTTACAATTCTAATTTCACATTTTTGGGAGTATTTCCTTTGTTGCTATGACAACTTACCACATATGTGCGATTGTGCAGCTTGCGGGGGGTAACTGTTCGCTGAACGTCTTCCCTTCTTCCATAAAACTACGATGGTCACAACTAAACGTTACTAACAGGTAGGTATGAAATGCGGGTGGACTAGAATATGATCGAAAACCAACTATACATATATAAGAGGTGTGACCGTTGGATTTTTTTTTGGCATAATCCGATTAGGGCGTAGACACACCACTTTCGATCAACACAATAAAATGACACTATGAAAGATAGCATGCATACACAAAGAAATCGATCGAACAAAAAGCCTTGAAAAACTTAACTTTCACTACTAATTTTGGCACTTACCTGAAGAAATAAGCCAATCTTTGAGGAAAATAATGCTGCAACTGCATAAAACTATACCATATTACTGATTGGTTGAGATGAGTAGGGATAGTGCTTGCTTGCCAGCTGACTAGCCAGCCAGTCAACCAGATCAAAGCGATCTGAACACCGCAATACCGACTGTTTCGCCTATTTGGCACCGAGCTCATCAGCGGTGTGTCTCAGCTCAAAGGAGCTGGATCAGTTAAGGCCACCCGATTTCCGGATAGCCCTACTTGGGCGGACTGGTGACACCACAAATCAAAATGACAATTTTGCAGTGTACGCAGCTTGAGGAAAGCCAATTATTCAGATCACAGTATTCGGCCTACTGATAAGCTCGACCCCAACCACCCACCCGCCGCAAACGAAGGAAACAGTCATCACCTCGAGATCTAGCTAGCCAGCAATACTGGCTGATATGAGTTGAGTGACAGACAACCACTACTCACCTCAATCAATCAGTAGTATATAGTTCTATACAAATACGCTTGTTTCCTTGGTTACCATTTCAGGCTGATCTCATACCTTGATCTGAATAATTTGTGATGAAAACATCATCCCTATAACTCTACACACTGCAAATCATCAATTTAAAATAACTAATCCACGGAAATTGATGGCTGAATTTAACCAGGTAACAAAGTTAGTGATATTACTATTAAGCGATTTAAGCGGTAATTATCTCTTTAGAAAAGATTATTGAAAGCTGATCAATTATGGACTTTAAAATCTTAACACTGATAGGTCGCTTTTGATAAAGTTTGTAGTATAATTATGATGAATAGCAAAAGTGATCATTTAGATTAGTGTTCACACCGACAACTAAACTGAGAGGCATATATTATAACACTATCATTCCCTTGGGTTCCTAGTGGAACACACAGGGCTTCAGAAACAAATCTCCATTGGACCCTGTTCTCGGTAGTCCTCTTTACAGCTGACAATACGATTGCTCATAGGTTCTCATTTCCTTCTGACACTACTGTCTCCATGTCACCCTCAGACCCACTCAACGGCCACTCTCATTAGTCTCCTCAGCGTACGCCAAATCCACCTGCATTTTCTTCGGTATATTTACCGGACGATAGTTTGTTGGTTGTTTCGTAGCCTGAATTCCTTGACAGCTGCACCATATGGTATCCTTTAAACATGTCAATGACTGTGAACATTGAACGTTTGTTCATTGACCATGGTCGCCATTGGCGGGCAGCTTGAAGGCGCCAATGATTCGATCGTGCAGAACATTTGTTTATAGACTTAGTGCAGAATATTTATTTTAACTATCGAAGAACCCAATTTCTTGTCATCCATTGTGTTTTGGAATTAAAGTCGATATCTGTGCTCAGTGTTTGTCGATTCGGAGCGTCTTCCGCAATAAGAGGATCTTAGGATTAAGTACCGTGACAACTTATTTGTTTTATGCAAGAAAAGAGAGATTTTGACTGGCCAACCTTACACTATGGATGCAACTAATTTCTTCTGATTCTCTGTAACATTAAGGAATATCTCAATGGAAGCTATCCAATGACTTTCGTTGCCCAGTAGGAAAACTAAATAATCTAATCTCCATACTAAAGATGGTCAAAAGTCAGGATAGAAAGGATTAGCGACAAGGTACCCTGTCATCGTACCAACCAAGAACCTATTGCCCGACAAATATGCTGAATGAAATGGAGATGAGTCGTAGACCGTCGCATACAATACAGGCTCCCCAGTAGAACCTGAATAGGAAACCACGAGTTGGGTGCCCTAGGGTGATCGTGCGGGGAGGAGATGAGAGATTAAGGTCGATCGTGAAGTCAGTTAAAGAGGACTGCAGGGAAGCGAGTGAAGTAGAGATGTGTTGTTGAAGCCCTATGTTCTACTCATAATCAAGAGTAATAATAATAATAATAATATATAAGTGGTCAACATAATTTTGAAGGTCAAACCAATCACAGATCTATAGAAGAAGAAACAATGTCTGATCCACAAAGGCGCAACTACACATACCTTCAGAATACCTAACACACGAAAGAAAGTGTTTGGTAATCTCAGAAATTCGATAACTTCATTAAGAAATAAGTGCATAAAGGTGATGTCACCTAGCCTGTTGAATAAATCATTTTCACGTCTAAATGCAATCATCATCAGCATACAGAACAAGATCAGGATCTTCATTAAGTACTTTCACATGATATTCAGAGACTTCACGGGTCGCTACAAAACAATTGTAACATGTTACCGAAGACTTTCCTCAATAGCCGCTTCCTTAGATCGATACGGAACAAGCCGACTCTGGCAAGCAGAGAACACAACACCAGCTAAAACGACCTATTACTCAACAAATACACAGAACGATGGATGGATTGTACATGGGCCGGGGAGAGGAATTCAAGTGACATTACACAGCCAGTCTGTCGAGTTCCCACTTGAACGGAAACCAATGAATTGGATGTAGATCCCAAGATAACGTGGAAAAAACACCGTGTGAGGACGAAATGAACCTTACACACACAGACACAGTGGAATAAATGTCATATCGATAAAAAATAACAGAAAGCCATATGACACACAATCTCAACTAATTGTCCAACTCACTAACTTACCACTAATCGTTCACGTGAAACTCGTTGTCCCATAGCTAATTGAATATCTGTAAACTTATCCGCTACAACACATCGTACACGCCATGATTTATCAGTTGTCGCCTGTTGGATAAGATCAATCAGGTATTCTTCTGATTCTTCAGGTCCTAAAGCTTGCGCCAATTGGACAACAGATTCAACAGCCATCAAACGTACAGATTCTTGTTCATCAGCAACAAGTCGAATAAAAATAGGCACAAGAACAGTCAAAATATTGTTACGTTCATTCTCTGGGTCTAGTGTGTAATCATCATTCTGATGAATAGGATTCATTATAAATGAAGACTGCTCTTCATTGGTTTTTACATTTGTGGAATAATCATCACCGGCTGTTTTAACAGAATCCTCCTTCGGTGCATCATTAATAGGCGGCGTTTGATCACCGTTTTTATCATGTTCTACTGGGCTAGATAATTCACTGGTTGATTTATTTGATTCAGCAGACGATGAAGTGGTTGTATCAACTGAATTACTTTTACTATCACTGTCATTCGATTTCTCCCCATTTGCAGTAGGTTGTTTAAGTGAACCTCCGCACATAGCCAGTGCCAGTTCACCTAATCGGGCAGCCACTGCTCGTCTGACCATTGGAGTTTCATCCCTTTATATAGAATGAAAAAGAAAAAAAGAGTCAGTCGAGACACAATAAAAATGAAAACCTAAAGAACAGTCGTTAGCAGTAGTTGTTGTTGTTGCGGTTCGGTGGTTATCTTCTTCACCTCCGTCTTCTCTATCTTCACCTGGAGTCCTGTCTTCTGCCGATTTGCTGGTTTTCGCCTGCAAGTCTTTGAGTTTTTGTATGACGCATTAGGTATAAATCATCCAAGCGCGAAATCCACATATTCTACAGTCTTTTTATCGGTGGTTCAGCGTACTCCTGTCTTATTGATCCCAACAGTCCGACGCATAATCAAGTCCTCCACAATTAAAAAAAATATCATCGGTGATAATAGGCAGACTTATCGTACTCCTGTATTCACTTCGAACGGCCAACTGAGTTTTCCGTTGTGAATTACCTGACACATGACATTGTTATATAGCCAGCTGTTGAGTGAAGTTGATAAAGACTTGTGGCACGCCGTAATGTTGAAGCAGTCTCCAAACTTTTCTTTATGCATACTAATAATTTTTTACCTTCAAACAGATGGTGTAGTTATGAGCAGTCCACTTAGCCCTGTTTAGGAAGACATGTTCATGCCCAACCATAACAGAACAAAGTTGAAGCCTACAGTCAGTGGGACTTCTTATTGTCCATATATCGATGACATATTTGGCGTGTGTACTGCTCAACAGTCCGCTCCGTCCTCCTTTATGGCTGTGAGACCTAGCCATTGAGAGCCGAAGACATGAAAAGATTAGCTTTGATCATAGGTGCCTGCGCTCTATCTCCCGTGGGAAGCGGTATATTAGGGTGAGCAATATTGAGGTTAGGCGTTGAGTGCTAGGTAAGGAGGGGAAATCAATCGACAAGGCTGTGAAATTACATCGACTGAGATGGTTAGGCCATGTGTTACGTATGCCTAGTCATCGCCTTCCTCGACAATGGGCAATGTTAGCTGACATAGGGTCAGGCTGGAAAAGAGGTAGGGGCGGTCAAACCAAAACATGGCACCAGTCAATGAAATCCACAACAGTTAGTCTAAGCCACGTAGGGAGGTGTAGACTTCCAGGTTGGGGTCCTCGGGACGGTAAAATCAATGGTTGGAAACAATTGGTGATATGGCTCAAAATCGTTCTCAGTGGCGCAGATGCATCCACTCCTTTTGACATATGATTTCCAATGAAACTATATTGTTCTTCGTTAATACTATTCCTTTGTCTCACACCTCTGTTTACTGTCTCTAATATGCATTTCTTCTCTTGCTTTGTGTGCTACATGGAGGGCGTGTGGCGACTTGAACTGCCGCACATATGTGCAAAGTTCTATATCAAAAACCGACCGATCGACCGACATTTGTAACATGCAACAATAAAAGAGTCATGCATCCTACCCACCTACGTACCTACCTACCTACTCAGATTATTCAACAACGCACATACAAAATATTGAATTCATCATGGAATGTGGAAGAGATGAAGAGTTTCATTTCCATGAAATCGTCATGATGTAACACGTGTGGAATACGGTAGTTTCTAGAGACACCAATTAACTGAAAGCCCACGTCGAGTGGACAATACTTACATTTCAACTGTTTTTATCTAAATACCTATAAATAATCACTAATCAAAACTATGTTTTAAAGAGTTAGGAACATATGATCCGCGGAGAGAAAATTAAGAGGAAGAATTTCTGATACTCGAAAAAATGTTGAAAAACAACGCTTACACCCTGAGAAATTCAGTAGTAGCAAACAAATCACAGTGGAAAAGAAGCCTATATCTTCATAGTCAACTCGACTTTAAAGATGATAATTATATTAAAGGAATAGTCAACTGAAGATTCAATGCCTCACACTAGCCAGGACCTATGCTGCAGCTAAGTTTGTGCAACACCAAAGGTTGACAGTTAACCCTTCCCTTATAGAAATCCAACCGTGCATACCAATTCACATGTATCTGCGTTAGCAGTTACATTGGGCGAAGAGAAAGAAAGGCAGCATATCTTCGATTTTGTGAACATTGAACCAAAAAGCCTAAGTCTCAAGGGAACAAACGCTTACAATAGTACTATTACCGGACATCTCATTGACATAGGTCGTCATGAGGTGGAACATTGCAAAATCCTTTAGGATTATCATTAGACAAAACAGCTTCAACCATTCTCAAGTTTACCGAAACAATCGTTATCAAATGCTTGAAATCCGAATTAAGTCTTCAGAAAGAAGCAGTTATCAGTCCTTTCCTTGACCTGGTGTAACTGGATCTCTCTCTCTCCTTCATTTGATTATGTAATCGTTGGCTTTAACCACTTCTCCCCTTAATATTAGAGTAACTTTGTTTTTCTCTTTTTTCTATGATCTGACTTGAGCTCATCAATTTGTTACTCATTTTATTATTAGTTACTCATCATCTTGTGTTCACCTTTTGTCTCAATCACCTAACCTCTTTTACCATTTTATCCAAGTATCATTTCTGAACACTGTTTCTGAATTTTGGAGTCTCCTGTCATTAACTGATATTATTTAACATTTGCAAGTATACTGAAACTTGTTCTGTACATAGACCGTACACACAGCTGATGAGAGGCTAGAGAAATAAAAGTGATAGTGCCCTCCCAATCTACACAAGCCGTTGTCCTTGCTTTATTCAAAATAATAATAATAATATGATGAGCAATAACACTGCTCACTGAACTCACCTAGCCAATCTCCTGAGAAAATCAAGTAATTCCCATCGTTCTGAACTGCGTACACGTGGATAGACTACACTGAATAGTGCACATGCCGATGTTCGACTGGTAAACCAATCTCCATTGGCTAAACGATGCAGTAATGGATTAAAATAGTTTTCAATTGAATCTGTTGTATGATCTGGTGCAAGTTTTCTTAATGCTTCAACAGCTTTGTCACGTACAACTGTCTCCTCTACCTAGTTAAATACATACAATATTATATAGAAATGATTATTATGTAATAAGTAGTCCTGCTTAACACTCCCCTTATTTGACAACAGTAATAGTATTCCTGTTGAAAACACTTACACACACTGAAATCGAACCAGAACCTTTAGCCAGATTATTCTCCCCTGTTGCCTGTGACAGGTAATTTCTCACTCACTGTCTTCACACACGTACGTGGTGGTGAGGACAGGTGTTCTGACAAAAGTGAAAGGACGAATGAGGAAGTTTGATGCTTATATCACTGGACTTTTTGGAGCTGGTAAATCCTGATTCTAAACCCAAGGGTACAGAAGGGCTCCAAAATCCAAACGAATCAAATGGCATACAAACATATTTTGGTTTGCATCTCCTTGTTCTGTTTTGCTGACACCTGTGTGTTAGACTTCAAGATAAAGGCCTTGAAGAGGAGTTTCTTAAAGCAACCACCTACTTCGGTTCGTACAAATCACGGATCAACAGTCAGTAGGAAATTCTACTCACTTGCAGGCACTCAGGCATACACATATGCGGCCTACCTAATGTTTTGGCACGCGTTCTACATATTGTACAACCACGCCCAACGCTGCTGTTGGTTCGGAACAATACTTAAGGCGATTGTATGCTATCACTCTACCTGAGATATACCTACCTCTATAGGATTCTCAGGCACACACAAACACACACATATATGCACCTACTGGACAATCTCAGAGAGCGATCTCGTCCTACAATTCACCCGTTACCATAACATTAATAAATCAAAAAGTGCCGATATTCGAGCGAAATGGCGGATTGAACAGTATGTCCACTACTACATAAATGAAATTCAATTTGCTCACCAGAGATCAATGCTTTTAACAGTCTGAAATGTATGGTACGCACTTTAACAGTCTAAGCATTGGAGTGTTAGAACTCAATAGGCCGGCAAAGAGCCAGAGTCCTACTTACAATGTCGAGTTATCCAGGTTGATGGAGGTGCAGCACAAGTCAGACCCGGGAAGGTCGACTTTATAAGCTGACAGACTACAACATCTCCACTGCTTAACACAGAAATTCTTGACTAGACATTTTAACTACTTTAGCAAGAATCAATAATCACGTGACATGCGAGTTTTCATTTAATAACTTTGTGAATAATTATTCTAATGACAAGAATTTAAGCATTCTACTAGTATTTACTGTCAAACACGGTTGATTTGTGGAGTAAATCCGTTTACTTACTGAACACCTTTCACGTTGGTAACTTATTTTCATCTGTAACTGTCCCAACCGATAGCTGCTACCTTGACTTCTTGGTGGTCGGGCTAGCGCATCGTAATGACCCAGCAAGCTACACTGTCTGGAACGAATGTTCCATTCAGGAAAGGTTGTTAGGATGGTAATTAGACTAAAAGCAGTATCCATCATGGTATGTTGGATGTTTACACTACGCTTTGGGTATATGGGTAAAGTTATACTGTTGGTGAACAGGTATATAACAGCAGTAAGGTATTTACCTCACATGACTGGCGTGTCAACTATGTTGTCTCTTCACTCTATGAAGAGGTTGTGGAGCCATACAAAAGGTTGACTCCGAAAATTGTAGATCCTGATTTGTCCCATGGTGGTCCGCGTAGCCGACGGTAAGTTCCTAATAACTCAAGCAGTTATCGCCTAGGCTCTGCGGTAAGCACACTAATTGTCTTTTTGTTTCAGGTATCCCAAGAAAAAAATGTCATTGACTTAATTATTCTGAGTTACAGAATTAACCAACTTTGGGTTCGAGCTACAGTTTATTACTGGTCTAGGGTGCTCGACATCCCAGCAATAAGTTACAGGTTCAACGACTGCTTCACTCATCGAGGTTTGAACAGATAGGTAGTACCACTAGCCCTTACGCAACAGATGTAGTTCATTGCCAACATTATAGAAATACGAGTGACTGAGACTTAAGTGTATTAAGCCGGCTGTTTTTACAGCTAATTATTTCCTTGTAAACACGGTAAGCAATGCAAACATCTAACGACACACACACACACACATAAACTTACAGCAGCAAGACTTTCAAGTGGAGGCAGCAGCGAATGAGCGTACTCTGGACCACCGACGTATGGAACTAATGTTCCTAATTGTTCTGCTAAAGCAAGTAGAACTTCATCTTCATCATAGATTGTCTCAGTTAAAAATGGTATCAGTTGAGATCGCGTTTTCTCCGGGCCAAGTGCTAATGCAATAGTTGCTATTTTACGAATGCTTTGAAGACGGACTTGTAAGTCTTCACCACGAAGTTCTTCTATAAGCACACCAATAGGGTATTCTTCACCTCTGTCCATTAGTAGCTAAAAGAGAGAATCAATGATTAATCAGTATACTAACACACTCATAAAAAACATGACTCAAATTCACCGCAGGACCGCACAAAAGTTCAGCAATTCAACTTGCCACAGTCCATATAGCATACAAAGGTAGAGAAAAGAAAACCAACAAAATCAAAAGAACTATAATCAGCAGTAACCTACGGAGAATAGTAAGATGGTGAAGCACGAGGGTTTAATATTTGTAGGATATTAGAAAGGGTGAATGCCATTAAGAAGCATTTTGAGCTATATCACCAACAGTCTTAAGTCACTGGTTCTTAGCACTCTGAGGTCCCCAACCGGGCAGCCTACACCTCTAACTACGCTAGGAAATAACTTTGGAAGATTTCGTGGAATGATGCCATGTTTTGATTTGATTACACCTAGCTCTTTTTCAAACTAGTTAATCTAGTGTCAGCTAACATTGCTCGTCAAGGAAAACAATGGCTCGGCATGCGCAACACGTATTCCAGTCATCTCAATCGATGTCGCTTCACAATCTCATCGACTGACTTTTTCACCTTACCTAACACTATGCCTAATTTGAGTACTACTCACCATACCCTACCAATTAACATCTGGGACAGAATGCAAACATCTGTGATCACAGACAGTTAACCTTTTTGAAATCTCCCACTTTCAATGACCATGTCTTACAAACAAAGAAAGATGGAGCGAAGTGGTACGGAGTACACACGTCCTTTGAGCAATAGCCATATATGGCGTCCATTGGGACTGATGCAACTTCCCAAGCGATTTCTCAATCTTATTCATAACCACGTCTATATGTGGTCCATGGAATTCAACCTCATATCTTCCAATTTCAATGCCCATGTTCCATAGTCATTAAGGAGGATAGAACCAATTGCTGCACAATGTTTTTCTAGACAAAATAAAGTCGATTTCATAGCTAGTTGCCGAATACTTGAGCTAACTCCACCAGTAATCACAGCTAGTATTTTAAACACAATAAGATGTAGTTATTGAAAAGATACGAATCTAAGAATAGGAACTCTAATGAGGATTCTGTGAAGAATTCCTGTATATATGGATCCATTAAATGGTTTGAAAAGAAAACAAACATCTGCTTGTCGAGACAAGGAGTAGCATACTAACGCACAGCTATTACCTCCACGATGATTTGGATCTCATGCTGAAACTGAAAGCTACAATAAGATTGGAACTTAGGATTTCAACAATGTTTGAAATAATTATTAAGTCTTTAATACTATGTAGCTATTGCACGAAGTGAAAAACAACGAACAAACCCGATGGCTCATATTGCATATGTCAAGCAAGATGCCATATTAGGTAGCCTAATATTAAGCTGAAATCAGCTGAATTACCTACGTAGAACTGTGTAGATAGGCGCATCAGTTCCAGCTGTCACAATTCCAAAGGCAGGAAAATAAAAAATGTAGAAACAAATAAACATGCATGTTATTTGGGATTTCAAGAATCTACAAAATGACAATGGTTTCACGCTACTGAGAAGGACTTTCAACCGTTTCACCAATCTTTAATCGGTGATTCTTAGCGTTCTGAGAACTCCAGCCAGGTGCTCTACACCTCCGTACATAGTACAAAGTTACACTCGAAAATGTTATCGATTGCTGCCATGTTTTCGTCTGACTACCTCAAGCTCTTCCGCAGTGTCATTCTATTTCAGCTAGCAATGTTGTGGGAGGTAGTGGGTCAGCACCCATAACACATTCTGGCCACCACAATCGATGCAACTTCACAATCCCATCCTTTGACTTTCACTACTCAGTAAACACTATTCAACATCATTATTACTGACCACCTTGCACAAAGAAACGTGAGACATGGAATGCAAATACCTAGGATCAGAGATGGCTAGCCTATTCATATACATCTCCTACTTCCAACGACCATACCTCACAATCATAAAGGACAGAGCTTTAATGGATACGGCCTGATATGACGCAATTTGACAAATGTCAAACGAGCACTTTGTTCTTGTACTGCGATTTCGTTAACAACCAGTTCGTATGTGATGCAACTCCCCACAAATATGAAGCGGTGAACATTTCACTCCTTATCCTTAAACTAAGAGGCAGTATAGATCAGTCACGAAACGTCATCTTACATTTAGAAAGGAAACCTTAAAACTGAAAATGATACAAAACTGATGTTATCTACTGACACATTCATAACAACAGGTTGTGTTAAACGCATTACACTACTTTTATCACTTTATATGTTAAATATTTATACAGTACATCCGTTTAACATGTCTTCTGAGTGACCATCAGTCTGGACAGATTGGAAGTATACGTAGATCCGACTTTAAAGCGTAACATACCCAAAACAAAATGCCCCATGGAGAAGCCCTATATATATATATATATATATATATGCATGCTCTTGAAGACAGCCTATCTCTATTATCTTTCCTTCCTTCTACTAATGCAACTCCTCTACTTAATGGCTCTTCACTTCCTCTTCACCCTGTGTGCACTGAAAACGATGGAAGCCAAAAAACCACTACCGATAGTCTCTTAAAGCCACGCCACCAATTTCATATAGGGGCATTTAATGTTAGGACTCTTTGCCAAATAGGACAACAAGCATCACTAGCCAAGACTCTGGCATCCCGAGCCATTGATGTATATTGTGTTTCAGAAACACGCATACAAGACCCAAGTGTGGTTATTCACCTAACCCCACCTGGCCAACAGGATGAATCTGCAAAATTCACCTTGAGGGTGTCAGGAGATGCGACGGCTAGCTCACGACGATTAGCTGGTGTTGGGATAGCTTTGAGTACTAGGGCAGAAAAGACATTACTTGACTGGATCCCGGTAGATAGCCGAATGTGTGCTGTCCGTCTGAACGGATCAGTGAAAAGGAGAAAGGACTGCACTACTCGCCGATGCCTTTTCGTAATCTCCGCCTACGCCCCCACTGACTGCAGTTCGGATGAAACGAAGGATGAGTTCTACCAAAAGCTGTCTAGTTTGCTGCGAAAGGCTAAACGCTCAGATATAGTCGTTTTAGCTGGTGACTTTAATGCTCAAGTAGGGAAATTGTGTCAATCTGAGAAGAATGTCGGTGGCACATACGGAATTCCGTGCCAGCGAACCGACAACGGTGACCGTCTCCTACAGTTCTGTTCAGATAATCATTTGTTTCTTGTAAGCACTAACTTCAAACACAAGGAGAGACACTGTTTGACCTGGCAACCTCCATCATCAAACCAGCGCTGGACACAAATAGACCACATAGCAATGAGCTATCGTTGGCGTGGGTCGGTAGGAGATTGTCGCTCCTTCTGGAACACGTGTGTAGATACTGATCACGCACTGGCCCGCGCTCATGTGTGCTTACGACTGAACGGACGTAGGAAACAGCTGGCGGTAAACCCATCACGTCCCCAGCTCGATCAGGAAACTAAGTCCCTATTTGAGGAAGAACTAGCTAAACACATATCTGAGTTCGACAGCTGCGCTCACCCTGAAGAAGCCTGGAAGAATATTCAGTCAGCCATAGATACAGGTGTAAAAGCTGTGAATAAGGTAAATCCAAAGGTGAGTAAAAACCATTGGATTTCGACTGCCTCATCCGAACTGATAGATGCTAGAAGACTTATTCCGGCGAGCTCCGAATTCAATGAGGAGCGAAAGCTGCACAAAAGGAAACTTACGAAAAGTCTCCTCAAGGACCGTGAACAGTGGTGGTTGACAAAGGCGAAAGAGATGGAAAAAGCATCGGCGATAGACAACACTAGGCAACTCTTTAGGCTCATCAGGGAAACGGGTAGGAGAAGGCAAATCATAAGTGAGACTATCTCTGAGAAAAATGGCTCCTTAATTAGCTCTCAGGATAGACGCCTTGAACGCTGGAAGGAACACTGTGAGGAACAATTTAACTTGCCTACAGCCACACTGAGCCTCCCCGCTATCCAGCACACCCGAATGGGACATAGACAACGGCCCGCCGTCTGTAAGTGAGGTTACAAAAGCTATCCGTAATTTGAAACGAGGCAAAGTGGCAGGACCCGACGGAATTATTCCGGAGGTGTTTAAATATGGGGGGTGACATACTAGTATATAGTTTAACTAAGGTACTAGGTAGCGTCTGGGAACCAGAGACGGTTCCATCAGATTGGGGTAAGTCACTTATTATACCAATATTCAAGAAGGGAGACAAGTCCTCATGTGATAATCATAGAGGAATCAGCCTGACGAACATAGTCTCTAAAATCCTAGGCTCAGTAATCATGCACAGACTAAGCCGAACTCGGGAGGAACAAACGAGGGAAAATCAAGCGGGCTTTAGGCCAGGTAGAGATCATAGATCATATCTTCACTCTCCGACAGATCCTAGAACATAGACACACTTTTAGGCGTCCAACAATTGCCATATTTCTTAACTTGAAGGCGGCCTTCGACTCCGTGGATCGAGAGGTACTATGGCAATGTTTGACTGTGAAGGGAGTGCCAAGAAAGTATATTGCACTAATCAAGGCACTCTACTCAAACTCACGTAGCCATGTAAGGGCTTATGGGGAATTGTCGTCTGAATTGATAACAACCAGTGGTGTCCGTCAGGGATGTCCACTTTCCCCTTTTCTGTTTAACTTCATCATAGATATGCTAATGGAGGTATCCTTAACTGAACTTAACGACTTAGGAATCGACTTGTTACCAGGGAATAGTCTTACGGACTTAGAATATGCAGATGACATAGTCCTGTTAGGGGAGGACGCTGACAAAATGCAGAGTCTTCTGAACACTCTGAGCAGCAATCTTCGTATGTTTGGCATGCGATTCTCCCCTGTAAAATGTAAGATGCTGCTACAGTAATGGACTACGTCAACTCCTAGCTTAGTGATAGGGAGTGAAGTGATAGAACATGTTGACCACTTCACCTATTTGGGAAGTTGTATCAGTACCAACGGATTGATTGGTGACGAAATCTCAGCACGCATTCAAAAAGCTCGGGCTGCTTTCGCTAACTTATGCCATCTCTGGTGTAGGCGTGACATCCGGCTATCAACCAAGGAACGTGTGTACTGCTCAGCAGTTCGCTCCGTCCTTCTCTATGGCGGTGAGACGTGGCCATTGAGAGCGGAAGACATGAAGAGATTGTCTGTTTTTGACCACAGATGTTTGCGATCTCTTTCTCGCGTTAGGTGGTATAATAAGGTAAGTAATGTTGACGTTAGGCGTAGAGTGTTGGGCAGAGAGGGGAAATCACTCGAAGAGACTATGAAGTTACATAGATTGAGATGGTTAGGTCATGTGCTGCGTATGCCTAACCATCGTCTCCCCCGACGGGCATTACTAGCTGATATAGGTGCAGGTTGGAAAAGAGTAAGTGGTGACCAAACAAAAACATGGCATCAATCCATGAAATCCCTGACAGTTAAACTGAGTCAGGTAGGGAGGGAGATGCAGACTTCCGGGTTGGGGCCCCCGGGACTCTAAGAATCAATGAAGGCTGGAGACAATAGGTGACATGACTCAAAATCGTTGTCAATGGCTTACGCAGATGTATTCAGTCTCTTTAACCTTTCATATTCCTTTCTACCATTACTCATTCTGTTTCACTCTTATACTTGTCAAAACTCTATTGATTCTCTTCACTCATTTTCTTGTCTACCTTCGTGTGCTCTTTGGAACGTGGCAACTCGAACTGCTGCACTTCGGTGCCAAGTTCTATGTTGAATCCAGACAGACAGACAGAAGACAACCTACACTACATCATTTGTCTATTATCCTTTCAACTATTCTCATGAGCTGAAAGGTAGTCTTCTCTTTTCCATCTGTCTGTTTTCGACATAGAACTTTGCACCGATGTGCAGCAGTTCAAGTCGCCACACTCCATGTAGCACACAAAGCAAGAGAAGAAAGTAGTAGGAATGCATAATACAGACAGTAAACAGAGGTGTGAGACAAAGGAATAGTATTAACGAAGAACAATATAGTTTCATTGGAAATCATATGTCAAAAGGAGTGGATGCATCTGCGCCACTGAGAACGATTTTGAGCCATATCACCAATTGTTTCCAACCATTGATTTTACCGTCCCGAGGACCCCAACCTGGAAGTCTACACCTCCCTACGTGGCTTAGACTAACTGTTGTAGATTTCATTGACTGGTGCCATGTTTTGGTTTGACCGCCACTAGCTCTTTTCCAGCCTGACCCTATGTCAGCTAACATTGCCCATTGTCGAGGAAGGCGATGACTAGGCATACGTAACACATGTCCTAACCATCTCAGTCGATGTAATTTCACAGCCTCGTCGATTGATTTCCCCTCCTTACCTAGCACTCAACGCCTAACCTCAATATTGCTCACCCTATTATACCGCTTCACACGGGAGATAGAGCGCGGGCACCTATGATCAAAGCTAATCTTTTCATGTCTTCCACTCTTAATGGCCAGGTCTCACAGCCATAAAGGAGGACGGAGCGGACTTATTTCTTCCATACTGTCAAGCTAATTAAGTGGTGCCAACTAGAATTGTATGCACAACTTTTTTCAGGCTCAACTTATTAATCAGTCAAATGCAAACCTATAAACAACCTGTGGACACAATAATTTTTTCATAATAGTATAAGTTGGGAGGTGTCTAACTGGCTTCATCAGAATATCAAAAATCGATGTTTGGATCTTGAGATGTAGTTCAAAATCGTCTATAAAAGTGAATGAGTACTCTTTCTTGGTGATTTTCCAAATTCTCAATGCCTTCAAAAATCATGCAAACATTCCATTTTCAACATCTAATATTAATCTGTTGTAGTATTACTACTTTTTGTCCCACTATTTTGTGATTTTTAGAATTATACCAACTTTAAATGGGGCGAAGTTCAACAATAGCGTCCCAGGAGTGAACACTCCAATGACCCTGAACGCATGCCAGTCGTTGGCTAACGGCACCTGTTATTATGATAGCTGAAATATCAACGCTATTCACAAACTTGGGAGCAAATGGTTCACTCATGTAGGTCATTAGTCAGATAATCATATTACACTCAAGTATTATCAATGCTCTTAATTTCTCGTGACACGAAATTTCCTCTTGTAACAAGAACTCATCCTGAACCAACTTCGATATTTTGAACGCTGGGCAGCTGTATAATACGGCAGAAAATAAAAGATTGCAGCGATTAATCACATGGTAAAATTCGACATAAACGTCGTCCGTATTGTAGTGAAACACCCTTAAAGGTTCTTTTAGTACTTCAACTTTAGGAGTAAATTACAAAATATCTAAATTTAAACGTTGCTTACGAAGCTTAAAGCACGCTAGATTTATGAAAATGAACGAAGTCAGATGAGTCGAGTGCAAATACCTTCAGGAAGCTGACACTTCACATGGCTAGTCATCAGCATTTCACTTACAGACCGCAACACAAGCCAAAAGGAATATAAGCATCTGAGTCATGTGAATCATTTGTATATAAAAGGATGACATCGTTATGTTCTTCAGGTTACGGTATCACAGTGTCAGATTATTTCTAAACATATATAAAGTGACAGCATGCGAATATCCACATGAACTAATAGCATTCCTGCAATCTGTCCAAAAGTAGGCTCCATTTATTATAACAAATGGTCTACATATCGGGAATAAAACACTCAAACACTCCAGATCTCTTCTAAATGAGGGATGTTTACACCTTTTAAAGCGCCTTTGCATAAACCGCACCGACCAATCTGTGAAGAAAGCATGCCACTTCAAAACAATAGGCGTAATACATGGACTACGAGACTTAAAGATGGATTTAGTGAAATCTATGCGTTGTGTAAGTAACATTTCATTTTTCTAGGCATTTAAAGGTGAGTATGGAGTAAATTTTAATGAGAAATGAAACATAGCTGCAGTCGAAAGACAGTTCGACCTTTACTCCAGGGAATTACAGTGAAGTGAGCTGCTTTATAACATTTAAATTATACGTCCACGATAGCAATCTTGCTTGTTCCTGACTCAAGTTATAGAGTAGTAAGATGTTAGCATTCAAGTACTGATAGGAACAGAACCACTACAGTTTTGTGCTTCCAGACTAAATGTTTCCCTGCGCAACTCGTGTGCAGTGACGGTATTTACAAGGCTATATTCAAAACCCTTATTAAGGCATGTGTAACCAATATGGCTTTATGAATTTTCACCCTCATATATGTTGTACTCTAAGCAATATACACAATATTCATATTTCCTATCAAATTTGAGGGCAGAAAAGCTGTTTCTGACAAACATTCTCTTTATTGAAAGACCAAAACCAATATTCCCTTGAGGCCATGTATTAATTAAAAAACCTACTCACCGTAGTAACATATGGAAAACCTGAACTACTAGAAAAAAACCAACAGTGAAGTGTGGCGCCCTCTTGATAGTGTAACTTAAACAATTAGGTCAGATATATTATTACTGACATACGTAATCCCATAATGATACAAGAGTAATGTCAACTTTGAATTGCTTCTCAGTTGCTTAAAATAAAAACAGATAGATTGTTTTGGACTTTGGCTGTCTCCTAGCATATTGTAGCGGTAAATAATTCCCTAAAATTATTGACCACAGCAATCATCACTGAACATTGGATGCTGACCCTCACTGTTTAAGTCGACTTGTTTAGCTGAAGGCTTCCGGTCAAGCATCCACGCCATTTGGTACTCCGTCGTTTCACTTTCGTACAAGATCCCTAGACAGCTAAGCAATCATCTCACAATCCGATTTTGTCCTGAAACATATCTCGTAATTTGGACGATCAAATGTTGTCTTTTGCTTTGCCTTTGGTCTACGTGGTTGTGGGTGTTAAATCTTGCATTAGTGTACTTCATACTATCCGTGAACTTCAATACCGTCAGCCTCCAAAATAACTTGTTGAGGGAAGTGCAATGAAATAGTCACACGGAAAATTATCTGCCTTAGAATTATGCGCTTTTAAATCTATCAGATGAGTTGCATATTGTATGCCCTGGAGTTTTAAGCTGAGGACCTGATACCTGTAATATTAACTTCCAAGAAGAGTGCGAATGAATTCTTTTATAAACTTTCGAAACTAAACAATATTTCCTATCATAATACTCAGACAGAACACAGGAGAAAATTGCAATGTTTATCCTTCATTAAGGGGCTATCCTATTCTTCGTATGCTACTGAACACATGCCGTCCGACTAATGTCTATAATCACCATTATTTTAACGTTAAATATGAATCTCAAAGTCGATTCTAATTGGTAAAAGTATATGTTCTTGCTCGTGAGTAAAACTGGCCTGATAAACCGTCCAGTACTTTAGTATTCATCCTATTTTATATGCTTGGTTAATTTTACTAACTTAAACGCTTCAGAAATGTTTGTTCGTATTATCATTCAGTGGTTAATTTGCTATCTAGTTGCCTTGAATGTCATACCCATACGTGCTTACTTTTCGAAACTCTAGTTTTCATCTAATTTTACACTGATAAAACGTAGCTTAGCAGCCTCGATAAATACAGTATGATTAAATGTCCCGTTAGTCAGTAGAGCAACGAAATAACTGTTTAAAAATTTCTCCTAAATGGTGTAATTACAATGCTGATGCTTATTTGCAAACTCCGACTGAATCTGTTACTTTCTTACAGTTATCCCCAGTCTGTATATGATTGTTCTGACATTTGCATCTCAAATGCTGACCTTATCCTTATTATTAGTCTTTGTTGAACTGTTGCTGCTTCTCCTTGGTCTTCTTTGATGGTGCTGATAATGTTATTTTTTGATCGTGATTTTGTCTGAATTAATTGGAGGTTATGACAAGATGATTTTGACCATGGGCATTCAGCAAATTCTGAAACAAACGATAAAGTTTGAGGTCTTAAACCTGGTGTCTGAAAAATCTGATAAATTATAATAGTTGGTAGTCACAATATCCTAATGCGCTGTTAGTAATGATTTCAGGTTTTCTTAATTGATATCAACAGAACTTCATTAGAAAGTCATTTTCTTCTACAGTACATATAGAAAATATATACTTAGCAACAGTGAATTGTAATCCAAATATTTTTCTTTTGTACTTGACAAACCTTTGGTTGAATTGACACCGATACCCAGACTAATGAAATGCGTAGTGACCACGAGTATCTATGGTTAACCATCAACATTGTGCAAAGGTTGCCTGATTTCCTAGCCTGCTAATTAAGAGAGTACACAAAACGAGGTGAGGCAGAAGAGTGTGTTTACACAAGGAAATAATAAAAGTGTCATTAACAAACAAGCAAAGTATGCACACGCAGTCCAATGACGCGGACATAATAAAGGACGAATCCATTAGTCACCCATCTGGGGGCAACTTTGATCGATCCACCCATCACTTTTACATCATATATAGTGTCAAAATAAGCTCAGTAATTATTTTCCCCGTCTTGTGTGACGAAAATAGGAAATTATATACATCAGTCCAAACTTCAAACCTTATCAAAAGTATGATTTGGAATAAAGTCATTACTAATAGTACTACTATAGAATAATTATCACTAGTGTTGGTAACTAAACATGGTCATCTACAGATAAGCGTGATGCAAAGCAAGTGACAGATAGCTACAAGCTCTTCAAGATAGATTATCAAATAAAACGGAACCAGATGTGTCAGGTATACCTCCATATCCACTGATAAATGCTGGCTAGTCCTGCCGTTTGGACGACTTTGAGCTCATTTACGAGTGGCTTCAACTTGCAATGACTCTCGCGACTGCGGTGTGTCCATCGTCCCTATTCACCCTGGGCTTTTGCTGCACTACCTGAGGACTTTTTAGTCTGGTCCCCCTAACCTGGATTTCAGGCTGTTCTTATCACCACCACACCTAGCGAAGAGAGAATGTTACTACAACGACTGCTCAGAGGCGTATTTATTGGCGATTCTGGAGTTACGAAGCCACACCACATCGAAGTCGACGAGTTCTTGTTCCCTGAAACTAAGACCGATCACCACGAATTTTGGTACGCACGGAGAAAAAATCGGCTGTTGACAGTAGAAATGCTGATTGAGGATTACGAAAGAAGATTAAACCAGTATTGTCGTGGAACATCCGTCGCATAAGTAACAGAAGTGAGATAGATGTAAATGACTTAGTTTAAGACTGCAGTATATTCGCCCTACTGCTCTACCAACAGTGTTATCTTTTAGATCGTTTATAATGGAAATGGAAATGTATTTTTCTAGGTTCCATTTGAACCCGTCGATCTTTTCACATGATCTAATTTCAGAAGGAATTTGGTTCCAAACAATGCAGCGTTTGAGAGTGGAAAAGTTTACCATAATGGTTTGTTTGTTAGTGGCAACTTTGAGAAGGCAGCCGTGTTTGCGTTATTGGTATGATCTATTATTAGCCCATGTTATGGATGAGCTACTGAAACCATGACTTCTCATAGCTTTGAGGAGAAGAAATATGTGGCACTTCGCTCTCAGTAACCACAGAGGTTCCAATATCAGTCGTGTACACCAGTCAGTATATTCTGCTTGCTGGTCAAACCCCACTAAGTTCTTCGTGAAGAATCTCTGGACACTTTCTACTTTCTTCCAATCTGCCGACTTTGAGTTACTATGTGTTAGAGAACACATCATTCAAGTTAGGGGCAAATATATGTCTGACGTATATAACTAATCCTGTTTCTCAGGGAGCACATAAAGAAGCCAATAAGTCGGCAACAATCACATAATACCTTATTCATGTGATGGGAAAATAGATATCAGTACGTTATTCCAAGAACTGTGACTGTGTTCAAATTCTGAGAAGGTTACCACACATATACAGACACACGCTAGGTTGTAGCGCACTTATCTGGATTGAAAATCAGTTTACCAGTTTTCGCTCCCATCGGCTAAACTGCTTGACTAGTGTTGGAATCTACTTTCCACACTCATGTCGCCATATGCGATATCACATACGAGTGGCTTTATTGCATATCCCCACTGATTTTAGCGTCAATGTCCGCTACTGTGTTACTTTAGTATTAAGTTATTTTTATATGCTTTTTAAACGAAATTTTGCATTAAAAGCTTTTCTTACGTACACAATATCGGTTGCATAATGTACTTCAATGTTGTGGTTTAATTTTTGAACTGTTTTTGTTGTATTGAGCAAACATTCTGTCGCTATTTCTTTTATTGTTATTGAGTCTTAATTAACGATAATTTGTAGTATAACGGTCATGAACATGTCTTCATCTAGGGAGGTAATAAAACCACGGAAGTCACGCCATCTGACGCAACGGTTCTTAAGGCCCATGAACACATTACTTGCCCTATTAAAATGCCTAGATCTCCTTAGTCCCTTAACGAAACTGTACAGGCTGAACTACGTAGACGCCGCACCAAACTCGTTTCTCAGGAAAGCCATCGTGTCGCAAGCAATAGGGCTAAAGTGAAACATCTAAGACGTCATAAGACCTCGAAGGCATTCCCGAGAAAGCAGACGGCTGTTGGGCTTGTGGCTCTGGAGTCTGCGAAAGCGAAGCGGCTTCTGGACACAAGTTTGGCATGTGACGGTTGCACTACCATTTTGACAAATAATTATCGGAAACGTAGTTTGCGTTTATGTGTATACGCCTACTTTTTCGCCCTGGCACAGTTTCATGCAGTTTTCTACCGGGAAACCAAAATAGCCAACCGAAAGTAGCTGAAAACCTTAAATGTGATACTCGAGCTTTCCCTCTTTCAGGACTAAGAGGATGAATCCATAGAAATCGAAGACACCTGAAGTCACATCCGATTAACATTCTACTCGTACGAACGTCACAAACGTGGCGGTTCGAGCATCTGGGAACTGTGATACTGCAAAATACCACTTGCATCATCTGTAAGACATTGTGTTGATGGTGCAATACAGAATAGTAACCCCACAGCCTTAGAAAGCAATACTAGCAACAGTCTACTCGAACAAAGGGCATTGTCTGATTGGAAACAGTCGTCTAATTTGTGAAGTAAATTTGGGGCTTGATATCTACTGAATTTTTCGGAGTAGTGCTAATACTAGCTGTCAGTACAGTTTTATCCTCAGTTCCAGCTCGACGCTTGCGACATACAAGTGAGTTATGTGGCTCACTATAACCGTTTGTAGGGAGTGTGTTGCTTGATGTAGCAATCAAGGACGTAAAATTAGTCATCAGATTTACAGGGGATTGAGTTCGTTGCTTTTTACTTTGATTAACCATAACTATTTGATATGAGAGTTAATAGTTACAGGTATGGAAGTAGTATAGTACTTGTGTAGGCATTACAACAAGATAAATTTTATGTAACGAATCACGCAAAAATGCAACGCAAACGTTGAAGGTACCGCCTGTTAGGATATATCGATTTTACAGGGATATTTCGGGGCCCCAAGTTATACCATACCATTAAGAGCATCAATTTGCCCCCT